ATAGAAATGATAGCTGACCTCTGTCTTAGTCGTGAACAGACGACCACAAAATGGATGGATGGTTTTATGGCTTATTTCTCACAGTTCTGAAGGCTGGGAAGTACAAGATCAAGGTGCCAGCCAATTCAGTATCTGGTGTGAGCCTGCTTTCTGGCTTACAGATGGCTGTCTTATTAGGTATCCTCACATGGCAGAAGGGACAAGGGAGCCTAGTGGGGTCTCCTATATGAGGGTGTTAATCTCATTCATGAGGGCCCACCTTCATGATCTAATCCCGACTCCCAGAGGCCCCACCTCCCGATACCACCGTCCTGGTCATTAGGTTTCAACATATGCATTTTGTGGGGGACACGAATATTCAGTCTGTGGCAACCTGTTTAGTCTCATCCCCACTTTCAGAACTCAGATGTAGATTACAGACAGGGGAATTGAAAAGTCAGGAGAAAATTAACGTGGTGAGTTAAGGCATATGCAGAGTCTAGCCCCAGCCCCCTGATAATACGCGTTTGCGTAAAGCGCTCTAACAGCGAGCCTTGTCCTGCCATTTGCTCCTGAACGGCCCTGTGAACTAGTTGGAGAATGATTCTTAGCTCCATTTTACAGATGAGACATTTGGACCAAAAGAGCGTAGGTGACTTGCTCAGCCTGATCTGTGGCTAAATCCAGATGTTTCCCCACAAGCTCAAGTTCAGAGCTCTTAGCTGTCTCTTTCTTACCTTCCTAAGTCCTGCCTTGTGAATCTTTTTTATTTTTTTAAGATTTTATTTATTTGACAGAGAGATCACAAGCAGGCAGAGAGGCAGGCAGAGAGAGAAGGGGAAGCATGCTCTCCGCTGAGCAGAGAGCCCGATGTGGGGCTTGATCCCAGGACCCCGAGACCACGACCCGAGCCAAAGGCAGAGGCTTAACCCACTGAGCCACCCAGGTGCCCCCCTGCCCTGTGACTCTTGTTAGAGTTTTCGGCCTTAAGCGTCTTCTCATTCCTACAAAATAATAGTTCTAATAACTGAGAATCAGCACGATTGGCATTGTAGGCCCCAAAGGCCTGAAATTCAGGGAGGTGAGTAGTTGCAGCTTAAAACAAAACTGAGCCCTTCCAACAGCGAGGCAGGACATCGTCCCATTCATTCATCCCTACAGCTGTACCTGCGGAATGACGAGTTTTATCACAGAGTAGCTTTCGGGAGAGTTTCCCAAGGAAACTGAGGGTCTCCACAGTGCGGTCTCAGTGGTGAGAGAGGCCGTGCGAGACAATGTTACTGCCCAACATCAGTCATCACACAGTGGTGAAAAAGAAGTTTCCTCGTGCTTTCCTTCCCAGTGCCCACTCACTCAGAGGAAAGAGCGTTCCTGTGTTCCATCCTCTGCAGAGAACCCAGCAAGATCAGAGGCAGCATTTCACGCCAGCTACGAGGACAGACAAGTGGGCAGCCCACTCAGCCCTCACTGGGCCTAAGCTCCTGAGATCACTTCAGCCCCTGGGGGCAGGGTGGGCGGGAGGCGGGCATTCGTGTGCGTCAGTGTCTCCCCTAAGAGGCTAGATGAAGCAGAAAATACCAGGCTGTGGAAAGTGAGACGCATCTTGACTCTGAGCAGACACCTTCTCTGTTTCTCGGTCTTGACAACGTCAGTGTCACAGCCCGTACTCAGCCGAGATGGAGCTTCAGAGCGCGGTGTCTGGAGCGGATCGCCTGTCTTTGCTTCCGGGCTTTGCTCCCTAGGGTATGTGTGTCCCTCAGAATGTTATTTAGCGCTTCTGCCCCTCAGTTTCATCATCTGTGGTATTTATATGGGAATAATAGGTAAGAGCACCTGCTACGAAGGCTCACCGTCAGGACTGAACAAGTTGATGGGTATGAAGGCCTCTGAAGAGAACCTGGCTGACAGGAAGTCCGAGTTGGGATGTTTCCGGTTCCTGTCTGCAGAACCTTACAGCCTCGGGATGGGCTGAGCCGCTGAGGGGCACCTGCCGAAGTCTCTCCCAGCTCTAGGCTTCCCTGCTTCTGTGTCCAACCTGGACTACTTCTGTGAGCGCGAGTGTGGTCCGTGGGCAGGGAGCAGCAGCCTCACCAGGGCCTCACCAGGGGGGTTGTTAGAAGTGCAAATTCTCCATCCAGTGCCTCCAGAAGTCTTCCAAAATCAGCATCTCAGGGCGGGCCCAGAATCCTGATGGAACATACGCTCCAAGTGATGTTTAAAGTTGGAAGAACATTGTGTCAGAATCTTCTCTTTACTGAGAAAATTCAGGCCAGATACCCACTTTTATGAATCCTAATTGCAGGGCTGCAGTGGTTACGGTGACTCTGGGGACCAAATGGCCTCAACAAGCCCTTTGACTTGGGGACTGATTGGAATTTGGACAGCTCGTTTAGGACCTCAACATAATCTGCCTAGTTCATTAAAGGAGTGACATTTGGAATAGGAGGGGAGCCCTTGCTGGGGTAAATCCAGATTATGAATTGGGCTAAGTTTTAGTACCAATTTATATATTATTTACCTTAGATCCAATTCCCACCTACCATCCTATATGTGCAGTCTGAATGAGTCTGTAAACAGAAGATTGCTGGTGATTCAGGGGCATTGAGGATGGTTTCTGGTGCTTTTTTTAAATATGAGTGGAGCTAAAGCTCATAAAGGAAACTGAGAGCCCATTCTTTGTAATAAAGAGAGCAGTAGGCAGTGAAAATCCATCAGTAGTGTTTGCTGAGTTTTCCCAAAATTCCAGATACTACACTAAAGAAGCACTGCAGAGAGGTAAAGAGGCGAGAGGAATAAGTGAAGAGACGTGACCTGCTACCTTGAGCTCTCTCCCCACTCCCATGTCTCCATCCATCTACTTGTCTCCATCTGCAGGACGTTTCCCCCATCTGATCAATAAACATAAAATACATTTCTGAAATGGACTTCCTTGATCTTCTACAAGACAACTGTGTTTTTAGCTAATTCTTAAGCAACAGTGAAACCATTACTTTCCCAGTTTTCTTCCTGTGCTGAAAGCGTTGAGGTATGAGTCAACTCATTACCTTCTGATGCATGACAACGTCTCTGGGATCTGTTTCTTCGAACCTCCCTCCATTTTGGAGGCACAATCCAGTTCAGGTTTGCATCACCTCATTGCCGGATGGCTTTAGCGACCTCTCGGCTGTAACCTTGATGGACCAGCGTATTTCCTCTTCAGTGCACATACTTCCATCCCCCTTTGCCACAACAACTCCCCTTGAAGGTGTTTTCCATGCCATGTCATTCATGCCTTTGACAGAGAAACAATTCTGCCCTCAATTTGGCTCTTCTATCAAGACCAAGTATCTCTGCCCAGCCTCAAAGCCATTCGCTAACTCTACCTCCTATGTTTCATCAAGAGAATTCCCCATATTCCTTTTCATCCTAGGAATTCAATGTGCCGTACTCATCCCTCGACATCCTCCCTCCTCCAGAGCACACACACTGTCCTCCCCACACTGCCACGAAAAACACTTCGCCCATCTTGTGTTTTTCTTCCTGCTCCCCTTCCATTTGTCCTCGTCTCTTGTTTCAGAACTCCCATCAGGCTTCCCCTTCGGTCCTCTCTAACCTTATTTGTACCACTGCTGCTATCTCCATGCTCTTACGTGGCTTTGCAAATATCCCCAAGTGATTTCTATATGTCAGTTCTCATCTAGGTAGTTTACTGCTAAAGACCGAGGCAGCAGAGAATTTTCCATTTCCTTTGTTAATGCTACACTTGGGGGAGCAGCCCAGAGATGAAGTGGTCACTAGCTCCACGTTATTCACCAATTACAAAAATGTTGCTTGATCCCCCAAAGACAACCAGGGGGGGAAAAGCAGTTAGGAATCCTCCTCACTAAAGCCTGTTTTAGGGAGCTCTAATGAGACCCAATTAGAAACCTTCCTCCTGTTTTCATATGTTTCATGTGAACAGTAAGAGCTAATACGTGAAAAAATCAGGCTCACTGTGGCTTTTTGGACCATTGCACACTTCTCTTCTGCTCTGAATGCTTGCCTGGTTTGCATTACGATTTCCTTCCTTGCTGGAAAACTACATAGACTTTCTCCCTTTCTTTGGAAGAAGTGGGACCTGTTGGAAATGTGAGGCTCCAGGATTCAAATGCAATAGGCTTGGCTGTGGCGCTCTGTAGTGCATTTCTTGACAAGTCCTGAAAAGACTATTGAATTCTAGCCTGTGCTTTTTTTCTGCAGTATTTGGATGTGTTTCAGCGGCAGTATTTGGCTGGATAGAGTAATCGAAGTCGTTTTTTTCTCCCCCAGCAATCTTAAGTTACAATTTCATCCTTTGCAGTCAAAGTGGAATATTTTACTCTATGCAAATACTTTGGAGTGCAATAGAATCATTGCTCTTTCATAAGCAAACAATCTCCCTTTTAATATTACATGTAAACAGGTGAAAGTATAAACTGGCAATGTTTTCCGGATGGAAAAACTGGTAGGTATTTGGTGACTTAGCTAGAGGATACCAAGTTACAATGAAGATTTTTTTTTTTTAATTAAAGACAGGCATTTTGGAGGACCTGTTACTTAACAGGAGGAAAAAATGGTTTTCCTCTTTACTTTCCTACGATTAAAACATTGTAACTAGTAACCTCCTCAAGGTCACAAGCTTTGTGCCTATGTGGTGGGTTGGGGTTTTGATGCCCTGTGTAACAGGCTCTTGTTCTCTGGTAATCTTCAAAAGGCTGCTGGCCTTTGAATTTGCTCCATATCTAAAATTCTAGCTTTAATTATCAGATTAGCCTGCATTTTTTTTTCTTTGTGAGTAAGGCGAGGAGAAGCTGCAATGTGTTTTATTATTCTGCAAAATGCTTGAGATGGTCGGATCCCAAATGTTTAATTCTGTTGGAAATGGGAGCTGTCAAATTATCGACTCCTTCAAGCCGATGGAGGGAAATTAATAAATCAGGGGAACAGAGTCACTGAGTGACATGACATCAATGGGCGTTCATGCGGTGTGCTCTGCTAAACAATGCTGGAATTGTGCCTTCCAGGGTCCCTGCAAGTCATGAACAAAACAAGAAAGATTATGGAGCATGGGGGAGCCACCTTCACCAACGCTTTTGTGACCACCCCCATGTGCTGCCCCTCCCGGTCCTCCATGCTCACCGGAAAGTATGTGCACAACCACAACGTCTACACCAACAATGAGAACTGCTCCTCACCTTCATGGCAGGCAATGCATGAACCTCGGACTTTTGCTGTATATCTTAACAACACCGGCTACAGAACAGGTAAACGTGTACTTGTTAGCCAACGAACCTCTGCTGGTACTTCTTAGATACAGGAAAATGCCTCGTGTCATGAAATATATAAAGTTCCAACAATTGGAAGTAGTGTAGGTTTTTGGTTTTGTTTTTTGTTTTTTTTTTTTTTCCCTCTATCAGGAGCCTCCCCATCCCTTTTTTTTTTTTTTTTTTGCTCTGAAGAATGTACCAGTGTGAGATCCCTTAGAAAAAAAGTGATGCTCAGGGGGGCACATTATGAAAATGTTATATTCATCAGAGCACACAGTGGTTGGAATTTTCTAAGAGGATCCGCAACAGAACAGTTTTCACCCCCATTTACCTGCTTACCTCAAACTCCCAGATCTCAAGGGATAATGGTTCAGTTTGAGGCTTGTCTTAGGTGTCAGTAAATTCCTGCTGATTGTTTCAGTGAGAAATCAACAAAGGTTTTGAAACTGTTTAGCATCTACTTCAAGATCTGGGACACAGTAGGTGATCATAATGATTTTTTGAATTAATAAGTAACTGAATGAAGAAACCAGTGGGGTATACCTTATTGATTCATTTACTCATTCATTCCTAAAATCGAGAGAATTTGGAGTTTCTTTAGCCAATTTGTGGTTATTTTTAGGTCCCATGTGTTCATGCCCATCTTCCATGAAGGGAAGGCATTCCCAGTCCTGTGTAGGGCAAGGAGAGGTTTTTGGTTAGTTGGTCTTTTGAAAATTGGGGGTCTCTTTCAGGAGAAGTCATAAATGTCATGCCAGTCTTTCTAAGAAAGAAACAAGCTCCTTCTGGTAAGGTTAACCCCCAAAACCTTTGAATAAAACCTGAGAGAATTCTCAGCATGTCGATATTCTCTTGGGTTTTCTGAACGCTTCCTTTTGAAAGGCAACAAAGATGTTTATAGAAGAGTGGGAGAACAAAACTAGTTTTTTTTTTTTTTTCAGAGCCACCTAGATTTATAAGATTTAAAGATATCATCATTAAATCTCATTGGAAATTATTTTTAGGTCTACAGATTCTCTATTCTGAAGATGAAGAAGTAAAGGGTTTCAAACAAATGCATTCTCTTAAATACTTAATAAACAATGAAATACTTAATAAACAATGAAATGAATCTTTCCCACTGGACTTGAAAAATATGAGGCCATTTGCTTCTTTTGCAGAGCATTCTGTGGGCACTTAATCCTTGTTATTTATGGATAAAAACATTGATTTTGACTATGATAGTGTTGTCATTCACAAGCATCTCAAAATCTCCTCCCATGACTCTCAAGGGTGTTTGCTTATGCTTTGGAAAGAAACTAAGTTACTCAGAGTGCCTTATCCTAAGTGTGTTTTCTCACGTAAGTGATTTAAATTTATGGCACCTTTCATCTGAGAGCTCTAAGGCACTTTGCAAATCCATCAAACATCCCCGTAGGGTTCAGAGACAACAAATGTACTTGGCTCTGTTTTATAACTGAGGTGGGGATTTCAAATACCGTGTGACCAACGCAGAAGCAAAATCAGAAACGTTCCCCTAAAGCCTGGTTCCTGATTGTAACCACCAAATTGTGTTTTGTTCGTGAGAAGCATCATGTGAAATTGATGCCTTTCAAACTCCCAGGCTCCCTATCATTTAAAACCTAGAAGCAGATACATAGCTTGAAGGATGGGGACTCTCCCCATATCCAGAGTGATATGGACGAAGTCTGTCATAAGAAATAGAGATGCAGGATGACACAGGGAACCTGCCAGGACTTAGAGTGGCCCACTAGGTTTTGTTAACTTGTTTCAGGGCAAATCAAGAAAAAGCAAGAAGATAAATGAGTTCTGAAGAAACTGTGTACAGCAATGGGACCCTAGTTGACAATATTGTACTGTGCACTTGAAATTTGCTAAGAGGGTTGGTGTTGTCACCATATAAGAAATGAAAAGGGAACATAGTAGAGGTATGAGGTGATGGATATGTTGGTTGGCTTGGCAGTGGTGAATATCTCACGATGTTTAAGTATTTCGGGCCATCAGGGTGTACACCTTAAATATATTACAACTTTTTAGGATTTTGTTTATTTATTTGAGAGACAGACAGAGAGAGAGAGCACTCGCAAACGCAGGGCGAGAGAGGGACAAGTAGACTCCACACTGAGCGTGGAGCCCCACCCAGGGCTTGATCCTGCGACCCTGAGATCATGATCTGAGCAGAAACCAAGAGTCAGGTGCTTAACAGACTGAGTCACCAAGGGGCCCCAAATATATTACAATTTTCGATTGTCAGTAATACCTCAAAGAAACTAAGGAGAAAAAAGTAAGAGGGAAAAGAAGGAAATTAGTATTTGTTGCTGACCTACCATGTAGCAGGCACTTTCACGGAATTGTCTCACTGAATTCTTCTGGCTTTGTCTGTGTTACCAAAGACAAAAAGACTCAAGAGTTGTCTAGGATCACAGGTTAACCAGTCTTGGGTTGGATTCAGCACATCTGACTCCAGAGTCTTTCCTTTTCCATCATCTTATTTCTTTATGTACGTTTCTGTCATGGCTCAAACCAGAGTTTCTTCAGGGACACGTAAAACACACCAGGATACAACACAGTAAGGACCCTGGAAAATGGAAATGAAGAGACGTACCAGTAAAAGTCAAGGCAAAGCTAGGCATACAAAGTTCCCACTGTGGAGTTGTGGGGGGAGGGTGCCTATGTGGAATTAAGCTTCCAAATGGCAAAAGCAAAAATCAAAATGCCATCCACTGCAAAGTTTACCAGGTCACTAAGATAAAATAAATTGGTTTCTTCTAAGAAGCATAGCATATTCTGGTACTTGTTTCAATTAGAATATGCTGTATTTACCCTACCAAGGGATCATAAGACATAAGATAAAACAGAGAGAATTTAGTTCGAGTCCCTTATTTTCAGGTGAGCAAATTTAAGCCAAGATCAAAAGTGACACATCCGATTTTCTAATGCAGGGAGCAGGTGTCAGGACCTTGGTCTTCAGGGTTCTCGCCAGTGTGCTACCCTGCCCTATATGCGTGGGGTCTCAAATGACACTGCACACCATAAGGCTGTCCCAGTGACAATTGTCAGGCTCTTTGTGAAGCCCAGTTGTCTTCTCTCGGAGTAGAAGACTTGCTCCTGGAAACCTAGTCTGATTCTGAGGCCAACCTTCTTTCTGCCCAGGAGTCAGGACGCTTAGGTAATAATTGGATTTATAGTGAGTCATCGTAGAGAGGAAAAGGAATTCTTTAAAGGAAACAAGGACTTTTCTGAATAGTTAGAAATAGAAAAAGGATGATCTTCACAGAAGAAAATTAATGTTGATGTGCCCCTTAATGAATCAGACAAAAGTACAAATTGGAAGACGAAAATGGCAGTGATAGAGATCTATACAATTTAAATTTATCTTTGATAGGAAAATAATGAAGAATCTCAGGTGATTTGGAAACAAAGATGCCTTCTTAACAACAGTTTATTGATCTAGCCAGGGATAGAGACCCATTCGAAAATACACAAATAAGAACATCAGGATGACAGGCATTTTAAGAAGTCAAGAGAATGAGTGAAGGGGTATTAAACCAACATAATCATTTATAATCTACTAACCTAGAGGGGGAAAAGCTGATATATAAAGATTTTATTGTTTTTCTGATAATGAATACATTATCTGGAATGTTTAGCTGAGAACCCAAGAAAAATAATGTAAGAAATTGAAATATGTATCATACATAAATATTCATCGAGAGAAAAGCACAACGCAGTAATCAGTTTTATGAAGAATAACTCCAAGAAGACAAATTACTAAGAGACAGATTTTAGGAGGCATCCAGAATACATGGATTTCAATGGATTGAATTGATCCAATATTATACTTACCATCATATGACATGATTTTTCTTTCTCAGAACTGAGGCATATTTTTGGACTGGCTATATCCTGAATTTTTTCTAACTTTACTCATGGAAAATATGACTCTCCAACAGCTTAAATGTTCAAAAGGGGAAAATACAGCAACATGTCTATTGCATTTTATGTTCGGACAAGTGAAGTGGGAATGATACTGGATTATCTATCATAAAAATGAATATCCTACCTGACTGCCCGCTCAAAAAAAAAAAAAAAAAACTTAGTGTGAATTTCTTGTGAGACTTGAATGTAAAACCTGGATAGACTTGAATGTAAAACCTGGCATTAGTTTTAAGGTAAAAGTAACAATCCACGTTTATGAGATAACAACAAATGTCAAAAAAATCCCTGAATCAAGACTGAGGAGAGCTAGAGCCACATCGCATCTCTGCCTTTAATTTGTTTAGAGAACTTGCATAGGCTAGTTTTCCAACTCATATTTGTAATACAGAGATTAAATTAGGATGATTCCTAGTGTTTTTTCCTGTCCAAAATTATACTATAGTTTTATTATAATCCCTATAATTTTTATATTGATTCACTTAAAGATTGTAGTATTCAAGTTACAGTCAGAACACATGATACATAAAATCACATGTGAATTAAATTTTAGTCATACTCATTTTACTTCATATCATTTGGGGAGAAGGGGCTATATTTAATGGAAGACTGAAATAAATTCTTTCGAAAAAAATCCCTTTGTAACAAAATAATTTGGACAAAGGAAGTTTCTGATTTCATGTCTTTTTAGTTTATGAAATTTATTTATGTTACTTAGAGCATATATATTTTATTTATTGTCCAATGTGGGATTTTTTAAAAAATGTAGAGATGACCTAAAGTAAGACACACTAATATTCTAATTTTAGTGAATAATGGCATTACAGATTTTTGATAGTAACATGAGGTCGAGCAAACATTTTTTTGAACTACTTATGCCTGGAATTACACTAAATGCTGGGATATAAAAAGATATAAAGTAAGATCCCTGTCTTCATTAGACTTACAGTCCAGTTGGGGAATTACAGTTTTAACTTGGTTCAAAATCATGTATGTTGTTAGTTTGTCAGTTACTACCAGTAAAATCCTGTGACCCCAAGCCCATCAATGACATGGAGTAA